ATCCTTCTTTCAGTCTCATATTTCTGACAGTACAATATAACATGTTCCACTGTTTCTTCTTGTCCACAAAATTCAAAATCCTAAAGTGCACTATTTAATCTTGTGTGTCCAAATCTCATCTCTCCCACTTTCCTTTAATTCTGTAAAACCACCGACCTTTCTTCTCCTGACCCCATTGTTTTTGCCACCTTTCCTTCAGTCTTTTCTTAATAATACTCTTGATTTCATTCTTGCTTAGATTAACAATTAAGTTAATGCCGTTGTTTTTAGCTGCTTCTTTATCTGCGGTTTCATTTCCTTGGACACCAATATGCGCCGGCACCCATACAAATACCACTGTACTCCCCATCATTTGAATTCTATATAACGTTTGCATTATTTCCATTAAAATGTCTGGTCTACTTTCCGAGTGACTGTACTGTAAACTAGCCAATGATGAACATGAATCTGAACAAATAATTGATTTCAAAGGTCTTATCTAAATTCTAACTTGCAAACGCCAGACCACTGATTTGTCAAACCTGCTTTCCTGCAGTCCGTGTTCTTCTGACTTTATTTTCTAGTAAGTAACGAATATGCTTCGGGGAAATGTATCGGAGTAAAAGTATGCATTGAAATATAGTGGAGTAAAAGTAAAAGTTGCCTGACATATAAAAACTCAAGTAAATTACAGATACTCCCAAAAACTACTGGAACGAAGTATTATTACTGAGTTACATTACACCACTGGTTTTTTAGCACCCTCTCTGGACTGTTAAGCCCCTCCTTAGCACCCCCAACAAAAAAAATCCTGGAGCCGCCACTGGGCCTTGCTACTGTCAAAGTTTGCCAAGGAGTCTGAAGAGTTGGTTGGATTTTACTGTACTTACATTTATGTGTATGAAATTTAGAAAAAAAGTACAATTAAATATATAATATAGTATTCCTTCCTTTTATTTGTGGGAATATTAGTAAAACCAAATATATAGTTTCCTAAAGGTCTCTGCACACCGAGTCAGAAATCTTCGTGGGCGTTTTTTCGTATTCGAAATTCGTCACACACAGAAACCTTGCACACTGAGTCCGATGAGTATTAATGAATCCGTTGCGAAAAAATTCGCAAAACAGTAGGCCTACTAAATGGAGTCTTCAAGCATTAAGGATGATTTTGTTGCCCTCTCACTTCTTAAAAAAAGAAAAAGAAAGGAAATATTGGATCCACGACGTCCATCCAATTCTGAGATAGATGGATAGTTCCCCCTCCTTATTAAGGAGCAGCGGGATTATCACGGGCAATTAAAAGTTTACTTCAGGATGTCAGTGACTCAGTTTGATGCTTTGCTAGCAATACTAGAGCCAAGTATTAAAAATAAGACCATCATCAGACCAATTTCTGTGAACTCAGTGTGCAAGGATCTATATACAGTGCTTTGTGCCGCGAGACCAAGTGAATGAACCTGACAATCGCCATTCTGGATTTTGGTGTCCGCTTGTACGCAGTGTTGCCAATTCATTTTTTAGAGAAAGTTGCTAAAGGAAGGTAAATTTGTTGCTAAAACTTGGTAAATGATGTTATGATGTCATTGCACAATGAAGTCATTGCATAATCACAACGCAAAATTGTGTCACAACAGCATTTTTCTCAGCAAAAAATTTTGATTTGTTTGTAAAATAACATGCATAATATAATATTAAAATATAAATAAGTGTATTTTTTAAATACATTGAATTATTGAACACACATTTTTGAATGATTACAATTTAAGTATTATTTTAGCTAGTTAACTAGTAATACTACACATTCTCAACAATTATACTTTTAAGCAGTGTATTAGTAGTTAGTTAGTATTCTACACTACAGTTCTACATTCTACAGAACCATGGGCATTGAAAGAAAAAAAAGAAAAAAATTTAAATAAAATAAAAACCAATATAAATACCAATACAAAGAACAGAAAATGCTCTTTGTTAATAACTGGAATCTTTTCTGGGAGCGTCCTAGGCTTTTTCGCGCTGATGGCCTGCATCCCAGCAGAGTCGGAGCGGAGCTCATGTCGGACAACATCTCCAGGACGCTGCGCTCCATGTGACTAGTAAGTCAAATCTCAAATAACTGCCCTGATGACTTGTGTTCTACCCGCTTAAATGATAGAAGTATGTTTCTCTGTTTCTGCTGGGATTGACATCCCGTGGTAACTAGGATTTACACAAGCTTCAGTCTGGATCCAGAACACCTGAGAAGAGATGATGCAACTCCTCAGAGGACCTCAGATGATGCCAACCCTGAAACAACATCCAGAACTACCACATTTTGCTATAAGTTTGATTGCATCATATAATAATTGCTGTTAATATTGTTCATCGTCTGTTTTATTACGTCTTATATTGATTTTTCCGTTCTGCTGGTTCGTCTGGTCAGAGGAGAACTGGCCCCCCGACTGAGCCTGGTTTCTCCCAAGGTTTTTTCTCCATTCTGTCACCGATGGAGTTTTGGTTCCTTGCCGCTGTCGCCTCTGGCTTGCTTAGTTGGGGACAATTCATTTCCGGCGATATCGTTGACATGATTGCAAAGATATTATTTAAACTGAGCTGGATGTTGACATCACTGAATTCAATGATGAACTGTCTTTAACTGAAAAATGATATTTTCCTAATTAATGCTGTTCAGTTGCTTTGTCACAATCTGTATTGTTAAAAGCACTATATAAATAAAGGTGACTTAATATGTGGCTAGGTCCTACCCCAGAAAAACTTTAATGGAGCATATTCCATTTCCTGTATTCTGGTGCCTTTTTTTTTTTTTAAACAATTGCTTTTATAGCCTAAAACGGTTCCGATGCCCATGTATGGAAGTTCAAATTAAGTGTGGCAGTGTTTGATTGGTTTTTACCAGATCTCAGATCAGCTTCACAAGGCAAGGCAAGTTTATTTATATAGCACATTTCATACACAATGGTAATTCAAAGTGCTTTACATAAAAGAAAAGAAAATAATAATAAAAAAAATAATCACAACAATAAAACAAGGAATTCAAAAACTTTGAAAATGATTAAAAAAATTTTTTTAAAGGTTTAAAACGAATTTAAAACAGTTAAAATTTTAACTGTTACAGTGCAATCAGTTGGGACATCGCACAGTGCTCATTCAGTAAATGCACAGCTAAACAGATGAGTTTTGAGTCTGCATTTAAATGTGACTGTTTTAGCACATCTGATCTCTTCTGGAAGCTGATTCCAGCTGCGTGCGGCATAATAACTAAAAGCACATTCCCCTTGTTTTGTGTGAACCCTTGGTATTTCTAACTGACTCGATCCTAATGATCTGAGTGGTCTGTTAGGTTTATATTCAGTGAGCATATCTGCAATGTATTTAGGTCCTAGGCCATTGAGTGATTTATAAACGAGTAAAAGTACTTTAAAATCAATCCTAAATATAACTGGAAGCCAGTGTAAGGACCTGAGGACTGGTGTAATATGCTCAGATTTTCTGGTTCTAGTCAGAATTCTGGCAGCAGCATTCTGGATGAGCTGCAGCTGTCTAATGGTCTTCTTGGGAAGGCCGGTGAGGAGACCATTACAATAGTCCACCCTGCTGCTGATAAAGGCATGAACAAGTTTCTCCAAGTCTTGACTGGAAACAAAACATCTAATTCTTGCAATGTTTTTTAGAAGGTATGCATTCACCTTGAGAACTTCATCTTTGTTTCCAAATGCAATGACTTCAGTGTTCTCCTTGTTTAACTGAAGAAAGTTCTCGCACATCCAACTGTTAATTTCATCAATGCATTGGCAGAGGGAGTCAATGGGGCTGTAGTCATTTGGAGATAAGACTAGGTAAATCTGGGTATCATCTGCATAGCTGTGATAGGCAATTTGGTTCTTTCTCATTATCATAAATGTGTAGACATTTCAATGACACATTTGCATAATAAAAAATAATATTATTAGCTAGTCTCTTGACCTGATTAAAGTCATCCATATCAAAACAAACCATACAATATAATAAAATAACATATATTATAAAAGATGCTTACATTTAAAGGCATTAAATGATTTTATAATTGCATTTAATACAGTAAATTACACTTCTAATTAGAGGTGGGGGAAATTTGGATTCTTAGATGCATGTCGATACGGACGTGGACGATTCTGAATCTATTCACAAATGTCAAAAATCGATTTTCTATTTCTGAATGTTAATTGATAACGTGACGTTGACGTAACGCAAAAGGCAGGACTCTAAAAAAACTCTAAAAACTCGGAACTCAAAAGCGCGGACAGTCTGTGGCGTGCACATAACAGATGCATGATGGCGGCGCGTGAAATCAGACCAGCGCCGTCTGCGTTAAAAGTGTATTTGTTCAGGATTTTGTTTGAAATCATAAGTCTTAGACTCTTCATTATTTATATGTG